TATGGCGGACATTGAAAAGATGATGCTGCTCCTGTGGTTGAATGTTTGTCAGTAAGTAAATTAAGTAGTCGCATGCATGTTATTGGGTGAGATGGTCACACTGATACATATATGTTCAAGCTTATGGACACAAGATAGTGTTGTCAGTCTTGATTTTTTTTGCAGGATACATACATATGGAATACAAATGTTCAACTCCATTGAAATGAATCATCCTCTGATTTTGTTGGATTGTATTATCATCACTGGTTACATTTTTTTCAAAAAAGGGGGATTCCCTGGCCTCTGCATCAGAACGATGCATACGGCCACATTTATTAAATAGTAAATAAGGTTCAACAAGGTCTTAACGTCTGCAAACATAAGCAACAGCGAGCTCACACAGAGCCTCAACGGCAAAACAAAAAGCCCAAAAGCCACAACCGGCTGGCAAAATAAAAGATAGGTAAACTAATTGCCTATCCTATTACATGACCGCCATCCAAACTGGTTGAAGATATCCCGCGCGACCATCTCCCACCGGACAGATCCAGTAACCAAATGCTCCCTGGCCTCCGTCGGAGTGAGTAAGGACCACATACGGATCAGTGTAGTAGCCCGGAATAAAACCTGCAAAAAATGAATAGTTGTTGTTCTGTTAAAAGCCAAATCATTTCTGCAATTCCAAACTGCCATAACAACGCACATACTCCTACACGAATGTGTCTAGCTGTTTCGGACTCTATCCCAGCAAGCCACGCCCCAAATAACGTGTTGACCGAAGTCGGAGGAGTAATGTTAAAGGCAATTTGCACGGAGCGCCACATCCCTCGTGCCAACGGACAGTCAAAAAATAGATGCTTGATAGTCTCATCCCGATCCCAGAAACTACACCTAGTAGAACCTGTCCAGTTGCGCTTAACTAGATTGTCCTTTGTTAAAATTACTTGTTTATGCACAAACCACATAAACACTTTAATCTTCAAAGGGACCTTAACTTTCCAAACCTCTTTGGAACTAGGAATCACAGTAGAGTTAATGATATCGATATACATCGATTTAACTGTGAACTCCCCAGATCTAGTAACCTTCCAACATAACTGATCGGACTGAGGAGTTAACTGAACCTCCATCAGTCTATGGACTAAGTGAAGCCATGCTTCCCATCGATCACCCACAAGCACCCTCCTGAACTGAATGTTGAGTGGAATAGACTGCATAACCGTGGCAACAAGAGCCTCACGACGCTGAACAATACGATATAGGGACGGATACTGGGTCGCCAATGGCGTGTCGCCAAGCCACGTATCCTCCCAGAAACGCGTATTATTACCAGTACCGACAATACACCTCGTTCTGTTAAAGAAAGCAGCTTTGATTCTCATAAGCCCCTTCCAGAACGGCGAATCCGTTGGTCTCAGAGTGACCTGGGATAGGGTCTTGGACTGCAGATATTTACTACGTAAAATCTGCGCCCATGTTGCCTCCGTCTCAGAAGACAACTTAAACAGCCACTTACTGAGAAGGCATCTATTCTTGACTTCAAGATTTTCAATACCAAGGCCCCCCTGGTTACATGAAGAACTGCAAGTGCATTTTCCTTATTTGCTATCACTTGAATATGCTTATGTTTTAGGTTCCAAATTCAATATTGCAATGTTTTTTTACAATCTGCAAAGTAACTTTTATCGCTTTATGCCATGATATATATTCCCAATTACCACAAAAATGCAATTATCTATTTTAGAAAACTCATTTATTGTCAGGTTTGATTCTTGTTCTATTTAGGGTTGACCTTGGAGTCGATTGTTTTTATTGATTTCATCCGTTCATCATCAATTATCAGATACTATACATTGACACCAGGAAGGAATTGCCATACAAGTTACTTGTAGATATTTTGATGATGATTATACATGGAAATTTTGTATGCGATGAAATTTGCGAGAGATGAGCAACAAAAATATACATGTACTGTCTATGTATTTCTTTCTTCATAAGATTTTATAATTTAATCTATTAGCAAGTGAATTATGTATTTGCATGGGATGCCCAGGGTAAGGGTTAGTTGGTGGATACATAAGTGAGGCAATGCTTGTGCATCAGTGAGGCTGCTTTTTCATATGTTCCTTACCCTTCTTTTATGCTTTCATTGTCCATATTTGTTCATCAAGAACATGGTAATTGCTAGGGTTGAAGATGGTAGAGGAAGAATGAAGGGAATGGGTTTGTGGACTTGACGACCATGCGACAGGTAGCGCTTTATCTTTGTCCATTTAATATTCGATTAATATACACCCCGATGCAACCACGCAATGTTTAGATAAATGGAGATTTTTTTCCCTCCCAACTAATACATGCTAATTAATCACAGGTAGGCGTCGGTGCGCCGGCCGAAATTTGGGTCGGTCGCACCAACAACGTTCAATCAAACATCACATAGCCACACGATTATGTCCCCTTTCTTCATCAGATGTGCTCTTCTTGCAGAAAGAAAAGAAAAGGCTTACATCGCGTCACCATGGACCGGCGACGCGCCCGAAGCACCGCACGGGCTGTCTCGCCGGTCGCTGTCCTCACCGCCGGTCGTTGTCGTCCCTGCAGGTCACCGTCACTATCGCCACCTCCTGCGTTTCTTGTCGGCCACGTGCATGCAGTAGCGTGCGGCCGCAGTTGCAGCTCCTCGTGGTGAAGGTCATAGCTCCGGAGCGACCAAAAATAGCTTGCCAGAGCCGCCATGTCGTAGCAAAAACGCTCACCGGTTGCAACTTCTGTAGTCGCGGTTGTAGGAGGAAGAAGCCGGTTGCAACTTCTGTAGTCGCGGTTGTAGGAAGTCACAAATGAAGAAGTCGCACCGACAGGATCTCCTGGTGGGGGTGCGTCTTGGTGTGCTGCGCGTAGGAACAGAGAAGAAGCGGCCAGAAAAATCTAGAGACGAAGAGATAAGGCGGGACGCTCGAAACGTTTCCCTTAATCACAACAGGTTTTATAGACTGTCTCGTCGGTATCGGTGAAGCTGCCCGGTACCTAGCCGATTTGCAGCTAGCTCTCGGCCGACCGGTCGGCTTGGCCGTGGCCGAGGCTGAATAATTTCTGATTTTTTTCTCCAAAAGCGTAATATTTCTGGAAATTCTATAAAACATGTACTCCCTCTGTAAACTAATATAAGAGCATTTAGATAACTAAAGTAGTGATCTAAACACTTTTATATTAGTTTACGGAGGGAGTATTATTTTAAAAAAAAGGCTCAATACACAAGGTACAACGCACAATAACATTGGTAGTATCATTATGTATCAACACAATGAGCGGCACTGCTGCAACCATCAGCGGAGGTTGTTTCGGTACCTGGCTAGCAGGTTGGTGAACATGGTGAAAGCGTTGGGCACAAGCACAGGTGCAGAACTGGAAGGGTTGTCATGTTGGTGCTCTGTAGGGGAGGATTTAACCAGCGTTTGCAGAACATTACTGATGACAGATAGCTGCTTGCTCAAGTCCCGAACCACTTTCTCAACCGTATCTACTGTTGCTGACATCTGCCCTTGTTTCGCTCCAATAACCTGAACTTCCTCTTGCAATTTGGACACCTTAGTCTGCATCTGGCTGTTCTCTTGTTGCAAAGCACCGAAATCATCGCGCATGGAGAGGACCTCTTGAAGATCCGCGTCATCGATTGTCTTAGTGCGCCCCATCTCCTGATCTAAGGCGAGAGGTAGGAATTTTACCACTGGATACACCAGCAACCCGAATCTCACCTCAGATCCTGCCGCCGCCGCGATCCACGCCTCCTTACACACGGATCGGAGCTGGAACGCAGGATTTTACCGATCGAGCGATCACCGCCGCCAGCACCTCCCGCTCCCGCTCGGATCCGCTCCCGCTCGGCCGATCTGTGTCCGAACAATCACCGCCGCCAGCACCTCCCGACTGCGCCCCGCCACCAATTTCACCAAATTCCTCTTTACCGTCACCGCATAAGAGAAGAGGGTGGGACAAGGGTGGGATTCATCCTATAGAAAATTTTTGCCGAAGAATCGAAAGCTCTGATTACCAATTTGTTAGGACCAGGAGAGTATTTTGGGGAATTCTCTGAGAGTTTGTATAAGAATTGGAACAGATCTCGTATGGAGAGAGAAGCGCTAGGGTTCCTGTATATTAGCCATGACGGCGATAGAGAGAATTCATCTGAAAAGCATATTCCATCCAGCCACAACCCGGCTAGTTATAGGGGAGGGTTTTAACCCGAACGGGAAAAACAGTAACTCTCTATTTACTACTGTTAACGCTCAATGGTCGAGATGAGTCTATCGCCTCAGATTGATCCCAGCCGTTGGATAACTGAATCATTACTAGTAGCTTACTGAACTACGACAGATATATATCAGGGCCTGACACACAAGCTCTCTGTCCCAGAAAACAGCAAAAGAAACTTTATGGCGTGAGCCTCTGTGGGTCACGAGGGAAAAAAGATGTCTTCCTGACATTGTTGAGGCCGCAGAAAAGCATCACCACTCTCTCCAGCCCCACACCGAAACCACCGTGAGGAGGGGCGCCATAACTGTAATTGTCAACATAGGTGGATTTGAGTACCAAGGTGAAGAAAATTATGCATTACTGTCATTCAAATGGAGTGTCGCAACAAGATATGTAGATACTGCAATAGTCAAAGACTGCCGTCATACGATGGGTGCAGACCAGACCTGAATGATTCAATGTATGATGATATAGTACTCGCATCAATTCCACACTCGATTGCACGTTTCCTCAGCAACTCAGGCGTGTGCACTCTTTGAGCTCCAGAAATAATTTCCTCGCCTGTCATATAAAAAAAATGGTTCATCAACAGATTTGCAACAACAAGCACTTCGGATATATATATATATATATATATATATATATATATATATATATATATATATATATCTTAAGGTCTTTATTGGCATATATGTGAATTGAGGTTTTTCCTCAGTACAACAATATGTCTTTTCTGTACCGACCATAAGAGTCTAGAACGATGTTAGCTACCAGTCTAGACTGAAATACCCACCTCGCATGAAGACATCAAAAGAGTTGCTGTAAGCAGGGTCATCATAGCAAGGCATGGTGTAGAAAGGGCGCACAGCCAAAGGATACCGATAGAGAATGAAAAATTCTGTCCCATACCTGTAAATATAACAGAAAAGTGAAAAGAGTTCCTGAAATTTGAAAAGTGATATAATTATACAAGTGAAGTAGGCTCCACATACTTCTCCTTAACAAGGAGACCAAGTTTTTTCTCAGCTTCGGTGTTGAGGTCACCCATAGGCTCAATTTCAGTTCCAGATTCCTGCCAAACAGTCAAGTCATCAAACTGCTAGCTGAGTTTCTGGATAACTTAATTTCTTCATTCTAGTTTTCCTAATATAACAAAGGTGCCAAGCAATGTTTAGATAGCTAGACACTGGAACTAATGGAACAGAAGAAGAAAAACGTCATGTTATAACGTAGTATGTTTATTTAACACACTTGTCCAAATAATCATCAACTTCAGAAGTCTTCTTGAGAATAAATCTGGATCATGAGTTTTAGAAAATCAATACCACCTCTGTCCCGAATTAGATGTCGCTGATTTGTCTAGATTCGCATGTATTTATCTATATATACCAATATAAAGACCCAAAGGGGCAGATCCAATTAATCTCGGCCATCAAACCATGTCAATCCAACAACCTAGACTGCTTCAATGTCGAGCGCTCAACACGTTTAGTGTGCAGTTAATTTCATGCCAAAAATAGTGCTAATCACATAATAACACGCAAATAATATCCTACTTAATATCCACATGCACTTAATATACTTCCAAATTAACGTGCATTGCACGTACACATTGACTAGTACTAAGTAATTCGGGACAGAGGAAGTGCTATTACTATTATCGCATAGCATCAGATTCAGCTCCTAACCACCAAACAATCTTGTTTCATTGCTAAATAATAAAAACCAGTAGATTTGCTCTAAACTCATACAGCAAGTTCCGCAACCAATATAATCCATTCATTTTCTGACAAAATACACATAAACATGATTTAACTAACCACTGGAAAAAGTCCAAGACTCCTACTGAATTTTGTCTGCACAGAACAGCCTAAAAATTCACCTTCCACACAATGGATCTGACTTGGAACAGTTAAAATTCTGAATGAAACAACGAATTTCCAGCAACCACAAGCTTTAGACCAAGACTGCAGAAAGTTTATCAATAACTTCTTCAAAAGCACATGCATCTATAATGTAATTCTTTTTTCAGCTAACCAAGAAACTAGTCTGTTGGCGATGCCAGAAAAGGATGGCAATTTCTCGCAGATCATGATTGTGTTATGTTAAAAATACAATTCAGTGGGTACAAAATCCAGCAACTTAAACAATATAATAATGGTCAAGCTGTAGGTGACAGTTGGTCGATAACATTTGCTCAAATATTTGTTGAAGAGCACATCAAATTGGTGGGAGAAAACATGCAAAACGTCACAATATCGATTTATGTGCAGACATATTTTAGGGCACTTTGTAATCTGATGACCTAACAGTACATTCACTCTTACGGTGAGAAAAATAATACCAAAAAAGCAAAAAAACATGTTGCATAAGAGCGAACATCACTGTGATTATGAAATAGCCACAAGAGTACTACCTTCAGCATTTGAATCCCTTCCTCGTACGTTAGCTTCAAGGTTTTCTCTAGGTACTGTATAAATAGCAGAAGTTGAAACAGTAGCTCGAGCAAAAGCATACAGATAAACACAATAATGAGTACTGTTTTACCTGCAGTGGTTCAAATGGATACTGCTTATTTACTGCCTCAAGTGTATGCTTACAATTTTCCTTCAAGTGTTTGAATATTTCTAGGAATAAGCCATCAACAATATCACAAACCTGTGTACAAGAGTCAGTACTTGGTAACCACTCACTTAAATAAATGACATAGAGATTTTCTTCCAAGATCTTTCTTACCTCAAAGTAGTGCTCCTTAATCTCCATTTCTGCATCCAACCCAATAAACTCGGACAGATGCCTGTGGGTGTTAGAATTCTCTGCTCAAAATATGGGACCAACCTCAAACACACGACCGAACCCACCACAGAGACTCATCTGCTTGTATAACTGAGGAGATTGAGCTAAACAAGCATCCTGGCCATAGTACTGTAGCTTGAATACGGCTGCACCACCTTCACTTGATCCAGAAATCAACCTGGGAGTGTGGATCCCAATAAAGCCCTTTGAGGACAAATATTGTCTGAATGCCTGCAAGTGTATCCAACGATGGTTACATGCATGGACCAATATGCTCCAGAAATCTTTTCCTAATCCTAATCCTATCCTAATAATATAATAATAATAATAATAATATAATAATATAATATAATAATAATAATAATAATAATAATAATAATAATAATTAATATAATAAAGCGGCTATTGCTTCTGCCGGCTCACCGTCGCAGCGCTTTGACAAAAAAAGAACTTGTGTTTTTCAGTAATTGAACCTGCAGTCCCTCTTTAAGTATATGTGAGAAAAAAAATTCACTTGTTACAAAAAAAACCTTCGTTTGTAATAATTCAACCCGAGATTCCTTCCTTCCCTCTGTTTCATCTTATCCACACACACTCCCGCTCCTTTCCAGCCGCGGCGGAGCAGGAGAAGTTGAGGGGCGTAGCAGGAGCGGGGAGGGCAGGTCGGAGAGGGAGGGCGGGAAGGAGAGCGGAGCAGGAGCAGGGAGGGCGGGCAGGCGCCGAGAGGAGCGGGTCGAGCGGGAAGCAGAGGCGGTGGCGCTTGAGAAAGGGGAGCAGCGCGAAGGCAAGCGGCAGGGACGCGTCGTTGGCGGGGAGGTCCCGGAGCAGAGCAGGCCACTCATGCGACGGCACGGCAGAGTAGTACGTGGCGAGGCGGCGCTCGAGGGCTGGCACGGAGAGCGGAGGGGACGGCGAGGCCTCGATGCCCCACATCTCCATACATAGATCCGCCCAGCTAAAGTTCGAGCGCTAAATCCAGGAAAATAGCCCCGCCTCGCTACAGCTCCCCATCTCGGCTACAGCTCCCCATCTCCTTATATCTTCTCAAGATGGTCCAGCTGGGCGCTGCCCCGACAGCCAAGCGTGTGTGTTCCACGAAAGTCGGCTCCTCCACCCAGGCCCTCCTCTGCAAGGCCGGTGAGGACACCCTTTGTCCGACTTAATCTTGACAATCATCCGCAGGTATACACAAAAATGTTCTTCCCTGCCGCCTCTTGGTTTAGTTCACATGTCTTGAATTACTTTGATCCTTTTGGTAACATCAAACTGGGTTGCATAGAAGTTACTGCTAACTGGGTTTGACCTTTGTGAGGAATCCACAGCGGCACTTCAGAACTCCCAGGCTGTTTTCATCAGCAAGCTTACAGCTGACCACATGATGGAACTCGATAATACAACACTGTATCCAATGGATACCTGTCGAAGCGATGTGGTCATCAGCGTATATGGTCTCAATATCCTGGTAGAGTATTTTCCATTAAACGATGCTACTGTCACATGATGCATATCATGGTTTTGTTGCGTGGTAATTTGACCTACACAACACTTGTTGCTATTATCCTTTCCAGGATGCAGAATGATTCTTCAATTTGGGTGCCAACTATGCTAGCTTTATATTCCTGAATGCAGGAACTTATTTTTTTTCTTGTTAGTATTCAATGATATTGGACAGGGCATCTGAATGAACTATTCTTTCTGATTCCTGGAGTTACATGTGTGATTGCTTAGACTCTTCTAATACTGTCATAGTGTGGTTGGTTGCTTGGCTGAAATAGTTTCTTACGGGCCTCGTTCTGAACCTGTTCCCACTTATATAGAATATATTTTCCACTGGTTTCATCAAACAAAAAAGTCATAAACATTAAATATTTGAAGTTTTGTCTTGTCCATACTTTCTAAAATCTGAAACTGTACTGAAATCATCATAGAAATTCCACAAGTAAGAATATTAAAGGCATCCGTGTCATTTATCCCTACTAGACGATGAATGCTATTGTTATTTTTTTTCTCAAAGATGCCTGATTTTCATTAAGACGAAAGCTCAATAGACCAAAATTCTATGTCATTTCTTCTTTCTTAAGGAAAACTGACTGGAGGCAGCAATCGCAGATGTTCAGCCTATTTTCAGTTGACAATATACTGAATAATTTGGCAGTGAACAAGTAGAGAAAACGCTCTTAAGAAGCGATAGTTTTGAACCTGAAAATATCTTAGGCATCAAGACCACCAGGTTTGAGATGTTCACAGAAACATGTCAGTTTCAGGCAACTATAATTCAGAATTGTTTGCCACACTGTGATGTTTCAGGCATTCAGAAACATTGCCCATGATGTTAATATGTTGACTAGGGACCTTTTGTAGCTACTTTAATGAAAATTGTAGTACCACAGTGTCCTGCTGCATATATTAAATTGCAAAGTGAAAGTAAAAAAAAATAATTAGGATTTGGTTGTCTATCCGATCCATCAGTAAGCAAGCAGGGACCTTGTTGTCAAGGAACAGAGTTCAAAAACCATCAATCTCAGAAACACTCTAACCATGTATTTGATTCTGTTGAAGACCCAATATATGATAAGGTGCTATTTTCATTTGCTAGGCAACCATTTTGTATGTCGGAAAGCAATGGTTTCTATATAGAGAAATAGTTCATCTATATGTTTCTGCTGCCTATATATTATTGATGTGTTTCCCTCACCTGCTATTTGAATGACATAATCCTTCAGATCTTTCACAAGTTGTGTTAAAGCTAACAAGACTCCCCCTTCCTGTAAATACAACTTTGAACGAAGGAAAGCAAGACAGGGCCGCCTTTATATCTTGGATAACTCCATAGCAGGGAGCAAAAGTGGGCACATCCGAGTTTAGATGTTCAGTCACCGTTTTGCAATCCATCTCAAACTCCACGGGTCCTCTTAAAATTTTTGCCAGAGCATGCAGCCGAACTAGGGCTGCCCGGGCTTCAGCTTCCTCCACACTGTCGGAAACTGGTAACTAACAGTATGTCGACAGATACACTTAGCCTCTGTAATCCGTAATCCCCGGCTAGAGCTCCCACCCATCCCGGCCACTGATCTGCTAAAAACTCGCGTCAGTGTTCAACTAGGTTGTGCCCTGTTCCGACGGAGTCCACTGTATGGGTGGCAGTGAAACAGGTATTTGCGTGGTAAACCACAGGGTCAGTTGTTCCTTTCCCTTCTCTGAACTCATCTTTTCCGTCGCATCGCCTTCCTCGTACTTCTGCAGGAGGCTTTTCCTTCACGGACTACTACAACGCACGAGCATTTTCACGAAGAGAACATAGGGATTTCAAGTTTTTTATAGCCTGCACTAGAGGCTGTAGAGTTAAGTTTTTGTACATTTTGCGAATCGTTTTGTTCCAGATTCTATAGTGTATAGTCTAACTATATAAGGTTATTTACTATGTGCAAATTTGCTTTTTCCATTGCTGATCATGTCCTTCTCTCTGTGCACTTACAACCTTCTGTTAAGAGCTTAGTGATCTAATGATTTTTCAGAAGGGGCGCTGCATGTTCCTAGATGCATAGCTTTTCTTATATAGATTTTCATTACACTAGGATTTTTTTTAGGGATAACAATGGGATTTGAGATAGTTTTTTTTTGTAGAACTAAGTTATGGATTTTGTGTTCCCAGGTCTATAATATGTGTGCTCTACCAGTTCCCTGCAAGCGCTTTTGGCCATGACCTCAAATTCTGCAGCTAGGCAGTGAATGTGTTGGTCCTTCTCACCGCCGACCGATGATGGTGCCCAAGAGAAGTCTGGGAAGGAGAAAAGGATGCTGCTGTCTTGGTGGTCGGAACGACTTGCCGTGGAACAGTCACGCACTGGATGCCATCGACGGCTAGCAATGGACGAGCACCTCACCGCCTCCGCAAAATATGGACATACGGGATTCTGCTACTAACATTGAAGAGTGTGTTGTTGCGGTGCTGTGACATCAATGTTTTTAAGACGGTAAGGCGAGGCAAGGCGCTGGGGGCCGCCTCACTGCCTAAGCGCCAAGGCATAAGGCAAGGCGACACCTTAGAGAGTTTAAGAAGTAGAATTGAGCAGAATTTGGTAGGCAACTGCAAGAGAGGTGCTGGTTGCTTGCTGCTGCCTGCTGTCCTGGAGAGGAGGGGGAGGAGGATCTACTGGAGAGGAGGGGGAGGAGCAGCCAGAGAGGAGGGGGAGAAGTTGCTAGAGAGGAGGGGGAGAAGCTCAGATCCAGCCGCCAGAGGTGGGAGTGGGCGAAAACTGAAACTGGTTAGGGCTCTCTCTCCCCCTGCTAGTAACAGTTGGCGCCCAGACTCTGTTTCCCACCTTTCTCTTCACGCCCAGAGCACTGTTTCCCGCCTGAACCCCCTGCCCTGTCTAAGGCATCTTCATTTGCCTAAGGCAGGAAGAATGGCGCCTAGGCGGACGCCTTAGGCATGCAAGTAAGGCAAGGCGCCCTGACGCTCAGGCGTCGCCTAAGCGACGCCTTAGGTACGCCTTAGAAACAATGTGTGACATATAACACTCTATGGAAGAAACCCCCGGTTTGATTTACAGGTGATGCTAGGGATTCATCTGGGATCTACTTTTGACAGATCAATCTGGTTTCTTGGCTGCTGGGTAGCTTCATGTGATGCTACAGTGCACTACGAAGAGTTACAAAGGTACACAGATATGATGGAGCCATCGAAGTTGGACTGTTGGACATGAAATTACAGTACAATTTCCATCCAACTTGCTAATTCAACTTTACTTATATTATAAACTATTTAATAATAATTCTAAACAGCATAATAATCTAGACAATATTTTCCAAAGGATGTTTTTTTACATCTTCCTATATCATTTTGATGTGAGATGGGTTGTAAATACAGGTCTCTAAATAATTTTATCATAGTTGTTAACTTGTTATTTAACATCCGCAAGCCATATTTGACAATGGTGAGATGGGGGATAAGCGGTGTGTTGAAA